GGAGTTGAGGGGTGGGGAATATATGAGGTACTCCCTTTTAGCTGTTTGTTATTTATATCCAGAAATAGAATGGACTCAGGTCTAGAGGAGAGCAGCTCTGTCTGCGTTCATATATCCTGCTTGACATCCTGCTTTGCCCTCTTGTTTGCAGCTGTGCTAGTGGGAAGCAGAAGTAGAAACTAGCCCCTCAGACATACTCATTATGGTAGCCATGCATTGAGACTGAATAGATATGGCCAGTAAAAGGGACCAACGATGGGAATGTCTATGAAAATAAGCAAAGCATAATAGAAAACTGTCAAATATAACATCTCAGGGGGAAAACATATATGCAAAAGTGGAATTTTTCCATTACCTCTTACCTAGATAATTACAATACCCTCCTAACTAACTGTCCTTCAGGCATTCATACTTACTCATTGCAATTCATCATTCACTCTGTTGTGATATTTTTTCTTTTTAATCATTTTATTAGGGGCTCATAAAACTCATCACAATCCATACATTCATCAGTTGTGTAAAGGACATTTGTACATTCATTTCCCTCATCATTCTCAAAACATTTGCTCTCCACTTAAGCCCCTGGCATCAGCTCCTCATTTTTTTCTGCACTTCCCCTAATTCACAATGATATGATTTTTTGTTCTGATGATGTCTGATACTTGATCCCTACGACACCTCATGATAGCACAGGGTGGTGTGCTTGTTCCATGTGGGCTTTGTTGCTTCTGAGCTAGATGGCCCCTTGTTTGTCTTCAAGCTTTTAAGTCCCCAGACGCTATATCTTTTGATAGCCGGGCACCATCAGCTTTCTTCACCACATTTGCTTATGCACCCGCTTTGTCTTCAGCGATTGTATCGGGAAGGTGAGCATCATCGAATGCCAGTTTAATAGAACAAAGTATTCTTGCATGTGATATTTTTTTCATCAATCACAGCTTTCCTCCTATCAATCTCCTCATGTTAACACTCTTGTGGCTCACCATTACCTGCATGATAGTAGTCAGTAGAGGTTTGGGGTTCAGGAAATGATTGATCCTGTTTATATTTATATCTTAAATTTCATTCAAATTAAAAATTTATATCATTCAGTTTAGGCTAGTAATCACTGAAAGATTAAAATGAAATAAAGTCCAAAATCAAAAAACCTTAGCAAAATTTCTTTGCAATTTGTACATGTATAAGCCATTTCTTAATAGAAGAAACACTTGTTTTTATGAATCTTATTTTTGATAAGTTTTTATTTTTAATTTAGTATCATTAGTGTAATTTATGTTTCAGTATAGTCTTCATTTATCTTTACTCTGCCTGCATTAATTGCTAGCCACTATATGTTTTGTGTCATAGTCTAAGTATTACGGATAAATTAAGATGAAAAGTCAATATAATCTTGGCCATGAGAAAGTACCATTTAGTAAATTTTCTTTTATCTCCATTTATTTTTCAGGGACCTGTCTTTTCTGTATCATTTTCAAAAGGTGGGGACTTATTCGCATCAGGAGGTTCAGATGAACAGGTTTGTAATTTTCTTTTTGTTCCTTTGGTAGTCCGGGTAGACTAGAGAAACAAATCCATAGAAACTCATGTGTAGAAGAGAGAGCATTATATAAAGGGTAGTTGTACATTAAGAAAACATCCCAGCCCAGTTCAGATCAAGTTCTTAAGTCTGATATTATTAGCCCAAATGTCTGACACCAATCTACAAAGTCCTCTTCGGACTCACTATACACATGCAATGATGCCGAATGTAGGATGATCACAGGCCAATGGGTAGAAAGTCTTTGGATCTAGTGGTGGCGTAAGCATCTTAGCGCTGGCCGGGGTCTCTGCGTGGCTTTTCCGAAGTCTTCAGAAGTCTGGTTACATCAGAGTAGTTCCATGTGTCTTTTCAGCTGCGATGTCTCTCAGCGAGTGAGTTGAGAGTCTCCCCTGCCTCCAAAGAGGGAAAACTAGATTTCCCAGAATTCTCAGGTGAAAGGCATGCCCACACAAAGGCCTTCGTAGCTATGATCCGATTGACAGACTAGACTCCACCCCTTCACTCTTAATCCTCTCAAGTCCCAAATTGACACCAGATTATGTAACTACCATAGTTCCCTCTTTGATTTGATTAGGGTGAAGGAATCTTTGACCTCAGCTAAAATTTTTATGACCAGCTAGTTTTGTGTATGTTAACGTAATTATCAATGAATGCCTATTTTGAGTTTGTGCCAAGAAATATGGTATTTCATAGAAATAGTGCCAATTTTGGCAAGTCCAACAGTAATGTTTTTTTCCACTCATTTTCATCCTTACTCATACATGGAATTGATACTAAGGACCCATTATAGGCTTGGCACTCTGAGTTTACTTACCTCCCTTTCTGCCTTTATCTCTTTTGAGGGACAGTAAATATTAATATTTTATCCTAGCAAACCTTCATTTTTTTCTGAGATGACCAAAAGCCTTTCATAACTAGATTCATGGAATACGAGGAGTTGAATTATCAAGCTGAAAATAGGATTTGGCCTTTGGAGGAATAAAGAGAATTTTAATGTAACAAAGTATGTTCTTAATGTAGATTACAAATGTACATGAAGGCAACTTAAATGCTAAATCCCAATCCCTAAAAATGTGCAGAGATAGGTTATTGTTTTTGAAATATGTATCTGGTCTTTGACTACTCTGAAGGATATTCCTATATTCATTTTTTAAAATATAAGTTCTATTCCATATATTAAGGGGATTCAAAATGTTCATGGAAGAATTCCATTGTCTTCCAGTTCCATTTTTCTGTGAACTTTTGAAGTTCCCTCATATACGCAAACAACTGCCATTATAACTTTTTATATATATATATTTATACATAGGTCTTACTGTGGCGGACTAACTTCGATGAATTGAATTATAAAGATCTCATTAAAAGAAATCTTAAAAGATTACATTTTGATTCACCACCACACCTTCTTGATATCTACCCAAGAACTCCACATCCCCAAGATGGAAAACTTGAGACTATTGAAGTGAGTATTTTGCTCATGTTTGTTGTACTGTTTTTTGTTTGTTTTCAGGGACTTATTTTTTATGTGTTTAACTATTTGTTCAATTGAACTCAACTCATTGCCATCTGAAATTGTACTAAACTATCAGTCTGTAATGTTATTTAATAAATTGTAAAACCTAGTTCTTCCTTCAAGCAACAGCTCTTTGAGAAGCTGCCCATTGTCATCACAATGAAACAAAACTACCCTCATATGGCAGTCTGTAATAAGTCTAGAGATAAGATAGAAATAAGACAGACCAAAGTGTGTTCATAGGAAATGAGAAATCAAATCTTAATCTCTTGTGATGGTGAAGTCTGAACTAGTTTCCTAGTCTAAGTGGTTTTAGGTGCTTCATGTGAGTGTTGTTATGAAAATCGGACTGAACGACAAGAATTTTTATAAGCTATTCAAACAGATGTCTCAAAACTGTTTAATAGCAAATAATAATAATTCATGAATAGTCAAAAGATTTAGGTATTAAACTAATTGAAGCCATTTTGTTGCCTGTATATATGTATAACAAAATTACAGGTTAATACATACATTATTATGTATTAACCTATAATTTTATTCACAGGTTATAGATTTAGGTATTCCCTCTTCAAAGAAAAATGACTTTTGTGAATATTTAGCTAGCATTAAGCCTCCTCTCCATTTTATGTGATTCTCCTGAAGCCCTTTTATTTTCCAAGAGCTGAGATCAGAAATTACGATTCCCTATTCAACAGAATATTTCTTTTAACTATTGCCAGAATGTTTCCTCACCTTTAGAGTAGGTATTTGAAGTTCCTAGGTCTTATCTGTGAGTCGCTCTGCCCCCCACACCAATCAGTTTTTATTTTCATTTCCAGTGTTGTGGTTGCGGGGGCGTTTTGACTGACAGTTTAATCCACTCATATGTTGAGATCACTGTCCTAGCTTTCCTTGCTGCTTTGGCTCTTCAGTAGAATTTTTCTCCTTTCTAACTTCCAGTAATCTTACCAGTTTTCTAAATTGCTGAATACTGTGTTTCACTATTTTAGGCTACTTATTGTGTTATCATTTAAACTTTTTTCCTTGAGAGAAAGAATGCAATATAATATGTGGTTCATCCCCCTTGTATTTTATTCCCTACAATTACAGGTGTATTTGTTTCCCCCCACCCACTATAGAACTGAGGTATTTGTGTTCTTTAATTTACCCAAGTTGTTTTTTTTTAATTTTTGTTGATGTTTTATGTTTTAACATTTCCGTGCTTGACTGGATTTGATCAAGTCCTGGTCTACTTCATCCTAATTCAGCAATATTTGCTTGACCCCATACTGCCTCAGCATTGGAGACCCAAACCTTTTTCTCTGTCAGCCCCAGTCCACTTAAAAGTGCTAGGCTTTCTTTAAAATGTAAACAACTTGTCTGACTTGTTCTGCTAACCCAGTAGATCCAGAAAGCAGTAAAAACAGCTGGTTATTTTATATTGCTAGGTCAGGATGACCCAGGCCAGACAAAGTACTCTCAACCATTAGTTTTCACATATAAACTCTTAACATTTTTATAGAATGTTTTATAGAATGACATGTGCATATTGGAATTAGACTTCAGTTACACTCTTCAGAATGTTGAACATTGTGACTGAATTTTGTTAATGCCTTAACAAAGTCAGGTAGTGTAAGGAAATCAGCATTCATTGGTGGTTAACAGGTTTGAGTTAGAGGGAGTAGAGAGAAGTAGCCTTTTGTTAGATTTTTGTTTTATTTTGTGATGGGAAAGGTAACACTGAATGTTGGTGAAGTTTGCTTAGTTTGACCAAAGTAAATAATGTCATAAATAAATATACGAGAAGAAAGGACATTTTTGGTAAATGTTAGTAGGATATTTAAAATGTCATAACAACAACCAATAAATATGTTTTGGTATGTGTACCTGTGTATATATATGTACAATGAGACTTCAGAAGGTTCATGAAAAATTTTCATCATATCTTAATTCCATTTTTCCACAAATGTTTAGAAGCCTCCTTGATATGAAGTGAAATTAATTGGTTAGGCACTTCAATCTATAGTCTTGGTAAACTCCCACCAAATTACTGGATAAGATCATTCAAATAAGGTATAGGAGTCTCCAACTTGGAGATTGGTCCGACTTGCCATTCCAGTAAGTATAGGGTGAGCCATCTCAAAAGCAAGAGAGAATACCACAGACGTGGTGGAGGCAGTAGAGGCACCCCAAGCCAAAACACAAAGACCTTCAGACCCAACCCGCTGGATAAGTATAGCTGAGTGTAGCTATTTGGGCAAGAGGATGACTTTTAGCATCCGGTTCCCTTGGGCAGATCGGCAGTAAGGAACTTGAGCAGGGCAGAGGCCAAGGAGCCACGTAGCTGCAAGGCTGAGGACTAGAAAGGAACACGCCTGCTCACATGGCTGAGAAGAGACCCTGCTACAGACAAAAAGACTATCTTAAATGTTTTCGATTCCTGATTTATGATACTTTTAACTCCACTACGGAACTTCCACAATCATAATTATTATCTGTGAGTTCTGTGTGGCCATTGCTATGGATCTTTAACCCAGTAGAGAAGGAGAGGGCCATAGAAGGAATGGTTATTATTAAATTACAATGAAGAGAGCTGAAGGTATTTCTGACCTCTGCCTTGGGCTGGTGTGGAGGTGGATCTCCTTCCCCCGTGAGTAACCAGAGGTGGTCCGATGTGGCCCCAAAGCAGTTTTCTTAACCCTTGTGCATGTCATTTCTCTGTGTCTACACTAACAGTTTACACATGCCACCATGATATTTAGGACTGGAGAATGGATGGTGCCCAACTACCCTAAGAATTGTTCTGATGAGGGTCAGAATGGATGGTTACTAATGAAAGTGGGGGAGGGGGAGTGTGGAAGAGAACTCAGGTTCTTAAAAAGTTCAAATTTGCTGCATCGGTTGAGAGTGGAGGACTCCCTAGGGTTCGGCCCTGAGATACTTCTTAAGCCTTGAACCAAACCACAGGTTCCATTGGCTCATAAAATGAGGAATACTACCCATAAGCGCTAAGTATCTTAAAAACCAAGTTGTCAGTAATTACCCTAAAGCAAAGATGAGAGGGTGAGGGGACAGGAAAGTTAGATTTCCGGAAGTGAAACATCTCAATGGAATTAATGAGCCTTTTCACACATTGTGAACAATGAACAATTGTTTCACAGAACAATTTTGTATAGTAGTTGTTAAATGGGAAACTAATTTGTTAGGTAATGTTTTCACCAAAAATATTTTTTAATCATTTT